CAGGGAGATACACGAGGAAAAGGCGCTCGTCCTGGAAAGGACGGTGCAGGCGGGCATCCCAATCCACAACTGGAAAATCCACAGTCCTGGAAGGGAGCCGAGGAAAACATACGGAAGGACTGTCCGGAGGCTGTCGGTGAGCAAGGAGATTGGTGCTCAGAGGACATTGCCTGGTGCATGAGGGAGCACAGGCAAGGAAGGGTCAACGAAAGAAGCAATGCTAGGAGGGGAACCCAGAGCCACCGATAACCCTCTTTGGCCCCTAGCAAAGCAACAAGGATTCCAAGTGAATCCTGAAAAGCAAGTCAAACCTAGTTCTGTGTCTGGGCATGCATCCGCAGGCGGGGCCTCCTATATTGGATCACAAAACCAGTGACCAAAGAAGGAGACGGAGGAGATTGGCACTTCTACAGAACAGTCATCGCAAGCCCAATGAGGCTGCTCTGTATAATGTGCACATAAGGAGGAAGCGGCAGACGGAGTGGGACAGAGGAAGCAAAGTGTGCGGCTGCTGCGGTCAAGAGTCGAAGAAGCACGGCACAGTCCCAGGAAAAACTGTACAAGTGCAACCTCTGTGCACCAACAAAGAAATGGCTGATGCCAATCAGTCGCGCTGGGGAGTTCACACAGATGAAGCAATTCATTCCCAAGGCAGGACGAGGCCCCAGGGGAGTGCATGCACTCCACCTGTTCCAGGCTCCCCAAGGAGAACGACCTCATCGTGAACACTCCATCGCTGCTGTGGCATCAGATTGGCTTTCACTCCATTCCGCCGAATCCTGGCGATCTCGTGGAGGTGTCCATTTCCAGGTCCACTGCTTGCTGCCCTCCGTTGGCTTGTCCTGTATGCTGAGTCACAGGGCCACGCAAAGGAATACCGAAAGGAGTCATAGCACCTCCGGCGCGGAGAGCATCGCGTTTCTGCTCCAACCTGTCCGACAAGGGCTTTCCTCCTGTGTCTGCCGGGACGGTCGTCTTGGTAGCATCTTTGATGTTTGGCCGAGGTGGTTCCTGAGACGTAGGACACCTCGGCTTGCTGGCATCTCGTTGACCAGGATTGTGCTTCTCGTTGACAGTCATCCTTTGCATCGCATTGGCGACTGAGGGAGTAACAGGCGAGGAAGTCATCGGCGGATGCTCCTCGGTGGGTCCTGATGGGACTTCTTTCCGAACCTCCTGTGCGGGTCGTTGCAAAATCGCCGAAGGCAGAGGAGTCCTGGGTGCAGCTGCTGTTGATCTTTCCGGAATGCAGAAAGCAGGAGCAGCGGGCTCCACTCTCACTCGAGACTCCATTTTCACATGCGGCTCGAGTCGGACCTCTGGAACAGCTCGCGTCGCAAGCAGCGCTGTCTGGAAAATCCAGGCTCCGCTGCAGTGGCTTCTGCGATCAAGTCGTCCCATTCGGCTTCCGTTGTTGTCTCTTCCTCGACAGGTTGTTGGAGAGCTGCGACTCCTCTGAGCACTAGCTCCTGAACTCTGGTAGCCGCTTGACTTCCAGTCTCTGCGGTGGTCTCCATGTCCTTGTCGATCCTCAGCAGATCCGCATCGAAATTCCGTTTCTGGGTGGCCAGTCCTTGCGTTTGGTGTCGAGGAACTCCTGCCACGCCTGATTCTTGTTCTCCTTTTCCTCGCGACGCTTTCGCATCCTGATGTCCGCCTTTCTTGTGGCAGTCAGTGCCTTCTGAACTGCCACCACCACTGAGTTCTCGGGAGGCGGTGCAAGAGCCAACTCCCTCCATGGTGCTGTTGGCTTCCTCGAGGAACTCGGAACAGCATCGTAACGACTGCCCTGAGGCTGCTGAGCCTGTGATTTGGGAGAAACCGACCAGGAGCCACCCCAATATCCCCAGTGCTTTCCGTAGCCCGGGGCTGGCGCGTTGTCGTACTCTGATTTCCATGCCTGGTTCTTCTGTCCTCTGCCTCCTCCACGTCCCATGCGTCCAGAAAAAGTTCCCGGTAATGAGGACAGCTGTGGTGTCCGGCAAGCAGAGATAAATCTGATGCCCTTGGCCTGACGCCGCTAGCACGAAAGACGTGGATGCGCTTCCTAAGCGCGAGATCTCTGGCAGCGTTGTTTGCGGTGCCAGGCAGGGGACGAGAGGGCCTTCGCAATGGCTCACGTTCGTGCACCTCTGTGCACTGGGGTTTGGCTATACGACCAAATCGGGCAGCTCGATCCAAAACCCTTACATACATACATAACATACAATACAATACAATACAATACAATACAATACAATGCAATGCAATGCAATACAATACAATACAATACAATACACAATACAATACAATACAATACAATACAATACACAATACAATACAATACAATATACAATACAATACACAATACAATACACAATACAATACACAATACACAATACAATACAATACATTACATAACATTACATTACATTACATAACATTACATAACATAACATAACATAACATAACATAACATAACATAACATAACATAACATAACATAACATAACATAACATAACATAGCATAACATAGCATAGCATAACATAACATAACATAACATAACATAACATAACATAACATACCATAACATAACATAACATAACATAACATAACATAACATAACATAACATACACACACATGCACACGTACGTACATTCATTCAATCATTCTCTGCGGTTGAGTCTGCCTCTACATACATACATTTCATTCGGTGTGCACTTTGCGTTATCATGTGCATTTTGCTACTAGAGTGTGTGTGTGTGTGTATTGATTTATATATATGTATATACACACCCACAGACATGGTCATGCGCTGCCTTGTAGCGTGGTGGGTAGCCTGCAAAGCATCGATGGGTGAGCGAGGAAAAAAGCGAGGAAGTCCCATCTCCCTTCCTAACTTTGGGGTGCAGGCGGTGCAGGGCTGGGAGCCGCGGCCGCGGCGGGTGTCTCCGCCCGCAAGTCCTCGAAAGGCATCGAGAGGCAGCGAGAGGCAGAGGGAGAGGGAGGCGCGTCCGTTAAGGGCAAGGGCAAGGGCGGCAAGGGGCCTTCAGCAGATCGGCCGGGAGGACCGCGGAGCCGGAGCCCTCATCCGGGGCTTTGCCTGGCTCCTCCGCAGCCGGCGGACCAGCGCTGAAGTTCGTGTTCGTGCGGCCTGAGAGCGGATGGGACTGCGGCTGCTTTCGGCTGCTGCTGCTGCATGTGGCTCATGCGTGTAACTAGGCCAGGCACGCTTCTCCCGCACGGACCTCCGTGAAACTCGACGCTGGCGCAAGTGCTCCCTCTCCCGACTCCCCCTACCTGCGAGACCGCGAGCGTCGTCGCGGTTCACGCCGTGAGCGCGAGCGGGAAGAGCCTTTCCGCCTGCCGGACACGGAAGAACGGAAGACAGCAGCCCTGCAAGTTTCTCCTCGTCCGCTCATGCCCTTCAGAGCACGAAGCGGCGTTCACGATCGCAGCTTGGTCTTGCATGTGCAAAATACCCCCTGGTCTCCTTGCAGGCTCAGACTCCAGAAATGACCTTCTGAAGAAGAGGGTTTCATCTGCTCGTTTGGCTACCTATTCTTGGTGTGTCTCGCTGAAGATAGCTCCCTCAAGTCTCTTCTAAGAGACCTCTGCAAGCTCGGCAGTGTCTCCAGCGGCCTTCCGCGATCCTGGCGACGGGAGGGCCTCTTCCCGTCGCGATCTCGGCCGTCTCGGCTCTCTTTCCGGCGCTCCCGGTCGCCTTTTCGCCGGCCGTCTCGGCGGTCCTCTCGTCTCCTGCGAGCGCGAGACACGCGAGGACGCACCCGAATCATCCGACACTGATGCGCCCGCGCTGCCCACGACCGGCTGCTCCTCTGCGGGCTGCCTCAGCACTCACCGTCCCGGGCGCCTCCCTACACCGCGCAAGAGCCACAGCCGTTGGGTGCCCTGCGATGGCGGCTGCGGCTTCGGCTGCGGCTATGGCTCCTGGGACGCTGCGGGCTCCTCGCACCTCCGGAAAAGAGCGAAGAGTCGAGCGTAAACAGAGTCGACTCAGATCAGATCCAGAGCCTTCGTCCCGTTCTCGAGCTGGGCTGCGCTCGCTTCGCGGGCTCCGCTTCTTTTCGCTCTGCGCCTGTGCCTCCAAGCGCGGGCCCTCCTCCCCCTCCTGGCGTGTCGCCTTCGCCTCCTGGTCCTCCTGGCCCTCCTTCTGCGTCTTCTCCTGTCGCTCCCCGTTTGCCACGGCGGCGGGCGCCAGCGCTGCCTCTGAAGCACAAACAAAAAGATGGCGAGAGAGAAAGAGAGAGAGAGAGAGAGAGAGAGAGAGAGACAGCATCTCACAGCTTGCAGCAGCTCCCGTCACAGCTCCCGCCACAGCTCCTCCGCTTCTGCCGCTTTCACGGCGGCCTCTGCTTTTGCCAGCTCCACCTCCGCGAGCTCCTGCAGTGCCGCCTTCTGCACCTCCGCGGCCATCCGCGCCTGGGCCAACAGCGCCTCCTGGCGACCGAAGAACATGCGCGCGCGCGCGCGCGGGGCTTCTGCTTCGCTGGCTTCTGCTTCGCCTGGACGGGGTCCGGGGTGGGCGCCTCCGCCTCGCCGAGTTCCACAGCGAAGCACCTCAGCCGCACGACTTTGGCACAGAGAAAAATCGAGGAAAGCAAGGCACGGACATCCGGGACTCCAAGGCGTTGGCACTCGTGGCCGCCTCGACGAGTCGTAGAGAGCTTCTCTAAACCGAAACAGCAGCTCACATCCCGCTTTTCCTTGCTCTCAAGAGCTCAATCTCCTGCAGTGCTGCCAGCACTGGCAAGGGCTTGCCACTGGGAACATTCACTACGTCGCCTCGAGTGCGTGAGTGTGAGCCCCTTAGGCCCCTTGGCGTTCCTCCCTGGTGCATTCACTCATCGCGCTGGTGATTGGTGTACTGGGGCATAGAGGAACCCGAGGGCCCAGGACGCGCTGCTGCGCCGCTGCGGCTCCCTCTTGCGCCGGCCTTAATCTTCAGCGGGAGCACCACGAGGCTGTTCAAGGGGACCTCCACGTCCACGCCCCGCTTCACCCGCGCGATGCCCCCGGAGCCGTCCTGCGGAGACTCCGAGAGCCTGCCATCCTGGACCCCTGCAGGTCCCTCGGTCCTTCAGGCCCGTGCCGTTCGAGGACAAGTCGCGAAGGCATCTGAGAGATTTGCCGAAAAACTGCCACAGAGCCGCAACGTTTCTCAGCCCTGCACAGGGACGGCTCGGCGGAGCTCCCTTTGCACAAGCGCAGCTCCGCGTGGGCCCAGGAGACCCCGGGCCTAGCACAGGCACGGAGCCATGCAAATGGCATATCCTTTAAACGAAGTCTGTCGAAATGGCATGTGCACATCCGGTGATCAGGCGCTGACAGGTTCACGGGCACCTCGCTGGCCGGGTCGCGGCCGATGCGGAGGCAGTCCTGCCCAGAAGCTGCCACCGAGCCATCCTTTTTGCCGCCATTTCATGCTCCCGCTCCTCCCTTATACCTTTTTGACTCCACTTCAAAGTGGCAGCTTGGCATGCGCTCGAGCTACCCGCAAGCAGCACGCCGCATCCGGAATTCTTCCCGTCCCCCTGAAAACCGGCGAAAGGCTGAGCTCTCTCCTCCTGCCCTTGGCGCAGCGTGTGATGCTGTGGATTGCCACCGTTGCTGCCGAAGCGCAAGGTAATTCGCACGGGGCGAGACGGCTCCATGGCCGTCCCCGCCATCGCTCATCGCCGCGGAGCTCTGCTCCAGTCGAGTCAACACATGCAGATATTAATAGCTAAAAGTATTTGTTCTATGGTGCCTCTCTCTCTCTCTCTCTCTCTCTCGCACTCTCTCACTATCTCGCTCTCAGTCAGGCTCTCAGATCTCTCTCTCTCTCTCTCTCCCTTTGCTCGGATTCTTGTTGCCCCCTCCTCGGTCTTCATGACAAAATGTTCTCATACGGATGTCTCCCTATGGCAGGCTCACACAAGCCAAGCTGCGCGCGCCTGCATCGACGCAAAGTGTGCGTGAGGCTGCGTGAGGGCACAGTGCTTGCAGAGCAGCGCAGCGCAGCACAGCGCCGCGCAGTCTCTTTTCGGAAGTGATGGGCGCGATTCAAGCTGCTCCGCTGCTGGTGTTCGGAGGAACGGGCGAGCCAGGGGCGAGCCTCACAAAGAGCAACCCTCAGGGCGCTCAACCTCGAGCTGATAAGAGGCCGGCCGCGAGCCCGGCGCCGAGCCGTCCTAGCAGAAGGTCGCCGTGAGGATCGGCAGCACCTGTGCACTCGTCACCGCTAGACTCTGGTCTACAGCCGCTTCAGCCAGCTTCGAAACCGAACCTGGCTCTGCTCCACAAAGTGCTGACACGTCCCACTCCCCCGCTGGCCCCGGGCCGCTCCAAGCGGCGCTCGGCAGGTGCCGGAACTCTCCGCAGCAAAGACAAACGCCCGGTCGTGCGAGCGTCCCCGTGCCCGTCCGGATGACGCGAGCCGCTGCAAAACCCAGAGCTTTTTTTCGTCTTCTTGGGCTCAGAAACCAGCGCTAAGCGATCACCTGCCGTCGTGGCGCAAGTGGCCTTCTCTGAGAAGCATAATTATTCAGTTTCTTTGAGAAGCCTGGCAGGAAGCGAGGGCCGAAGCTGTGCTCTCGTCCACAAGCGAACGCAACCACCCGAACTGCGGAGTCCCGGGACGTCGGAGACTGCGGGGACGGGGCAAAAGCGAAACGAATCATTGTGAAGTCACTCCCAAAGTTTAGTTGCCGCATCGACGGCACCAAGCACAATGGCCGGCATGAAGCAAACCATGCAGGACGAACGGGAGTGGGGCCTCGAAAAAGTGGGACGAACCATAACAAAAAGGACAAGTGCAAAGGTGCTTCGGTGCTCGTGATTGTTCGATCCTGCCGCCATGTGTCTCCTGTCTTTCCCTTCTCCGCCCATCCGTCCATCTTACAACGACTGAACACGCTTTAAAGCACTCGCACTCACGAAGTTCATGCATCGCATCCTTGCCACTGGTCATGTACATGAATCGCTCAACTTAAACCGCTCAGCCAACGGATGTCTGCCAGGTTCCCACCACTCCCTCAACTCTCGCTGCGGTCCTCGCTGACTTCCAGCGGCTCCCCTCGACGCCGCGCCAACTCCAAAGCCCTGCGCAGCTCCGACGACAAAAGTCGCAAACCAACGATTCTTAGAGCTTTAGACATGCATATACATGTGTGCACGTGTGCAGCAGATATACGTGTACATACACATATACATCTACATCTACATATGCATATGCATATACATATGCATATACATATGCATAAAAGCATATATACATATATACATATATGTGCCCGATACCTTTAAGGTCTATGTAACCGCAGTTTGTTATCTTCAGCACATAATGGAAAGCAAAATGTAAGGTCTAAGCACAGCCCACATTGCAAAGCCATAACCCGAAAAGTTTCAGACCGACTGTGTTATATTTTTTAATGAATAATTCAAGGTTATCATTCATATT